CAGGGGGAGGTGTGAGACAAATTAAGACACACAATTCAGCAAAATCAGGCAGAGAATTTTCAGGCACTCTGATGTAGTTTGGACAAACTTTAATCATAAAACAAACACTCAGGACTCCCTGATTGATAGATAGGGAACACAAAATGTATCTTGGTTATTTTCTCTGGTATTCTTTAGATCAGGGGTGCCTACTGTGTGGGCCAAATATGGCCTGCATGATACATGCATGGCCAAAGTACTGTATTTTGAATTTCACCTTTCATTAGAAACTCAGTTTTTGGCTTTGCAGCTGTGGGGGAAAACCATCCAATTTTACAAGCCTGAAGTAAATCAATGTGGTAACATCTCATCCTTATAAGTAGGTGCTCAGAGGCAGTTTCAAGTTTCTGTTGATCACCAAAGCGTGAACTCTCAAGCCAAATTCTGTTGCGAAAAATGGGTAACAGAAGGTTAGGATCATCCTATGCCTTTCTGGGACATCAAACACAATGAGTGATGTCTAAAAAGCATGAAATGAACAGGTGACTGTGTGCCAACATCTCCACAGCTCTGCCTCCACGGGTCTGGGGATGTGGGTCTCCCAGAAGTGCTGGCTGGCAGAGCTATCACAGCAATGCTGGATCTCATTCCCTGCCGCTGTGCTGGGAAGGCAATCTGGAGGTTTAGTGGAAAGAGGGATTCAAAACACCTCATTTCAGGCGAGATCTGCAGCTGTGTTTGCCTTAGGAGCTGGGCTGGGTTTTGCCATGGGAACAGGCAGAAGCAGTGGGTTCAGGAGTGAGGCACAGCCTTGCTCATGGCTGACAGAGAACAGGGATCTGCTACAGATCTGCATGAAATTAGTCACCATCAGATGTTCTTCTGCATCCATATCTGCAGCAGAGAACACATCCCATCAGGAAGTAATTTGGGGAAATTTAGGGAAAAGGGCTACAAACAGCTTTGCTTGCAACACAATGTGTTCTTAGCCAGCATCCAACCAATCCCTTTTGTATAACCTCTAAAATCCCTCTGGCTTAGGCCTGCCTGTGTTTTCATTACCCAACATTCCACCTAACCCAGAAAGCACAGAGATGCTATTTTTTTTCAAAATTGGAGCACCCTCTGCAGTATCTGCTTCCTTCAGATCACTTTCCCCTTCTCTTGTTCCAAAATTATGTAATTCCTTGTGGATAGGGATATTTTCTTTTAATGTACTCGCTGGTTCAGAAATAAGGGAAGACTGAACTCAAGAGCAGTGTGTGTTAATTAAGATGACCACAGCACCAGGGGAGGAGTTGCATTTAGCTGCTTTAGCTTACACAGGAGGGATTAATATGGAGTGGGTGAGTCAACTGTGGATTGCCAAATCTGGGTTATGCTCCCCAAAATTATGTTGGAAGATTCCCCTAAACCTGAAATATGTGGAGCTGTACTTTTTTTGTGTGGGCTATAGAGAACATCAAGTTTAAGTGAACCCAGGTTTGGCTTCCTAAATATACTTTTCACTATGTGAGCTATAGTGAGGCCTGAATAAGTGTGTGTTTTACAGAGTCATGAGTCAGGCTTTGATCAACACCTCATTCCTGCACCCTCGCACCTGGCCCAGGACAAGGATATGGGGAAACTGGGAATATTCACAGGGGGAGAATAAAAGATGGTAAAGTAGGCTATAAGAGAATGAACTATGGATGAAGTAGCGCCATGTTTTTGCTGAGTAATACATAGCACGGACATTAACATGAAGTTTGCATTCTCCCCTCTGAAATCTATGCAAACTTCCCACAGGAATGCAGCAATGGCAGACTGAAGAGATGATAAAATTCTCTATTTACATGGGGGACACCAAAATTTCTGCCTGTTTTTTGTGGAGTGCTGGATGTATGGGTAAAGCTAAGTGGGAAACGCTTGCTCAGTCATTGTCTGGCTGGCAAGATGCTCATTCATAGAGGTGGAGGTTTGGCATGAGCCAGAGGAGCTTGTGGCTTGTCAGAGCATGGCCAGGCAAAGCACAGGGCCAGACTGAATATTTCTCAGACCTGAGAGCAGCCATAACCTGGCCAGAGCAAACCCTGACAGGAACAGCGATGCTCAGAGCAGGTTAATTAATAACTTGAGGCGCTGGAAATAAAACCAGGTTGTAATTGAGTGCTGTTTGCTTTAGAGCTGTGATTCTTGGCCTGTGTCAGGTTTGTGGGAGCTGGTTGGGCTGACACTGCAGAGTGGCCTGGCTGGATGTCCTCGCTGAGAGTCACCAGAGCGGGTCAGGAAGGTGTTCAAGCAGTGGTGTGGGGTGGTGAGGGCAGGCACAGAGAGCAACAAGCTGACAGTGCTGGGTCTGGCACACTGCCCTGCCCTGCTCCACACCACTGCCCTGCCCTGCTCTACACCTCTGTACTTGATGGCACATTTCCTGTGTGTTTCACCCTTCCTACACACATCTCACCCTTCCTGGATCTCCTCATAACGACAGGCACATTGTCAAGTTCCTCATTGCTTACTGAGATTAACATAGTAGCCCTGTTTTCTTGAGTTGGGAAGATTTCCTGGTTAAAACTGTCCTAATTAAACTTGGATCTCTAATAAGGCTAAAAATGCCCCTGGAATGGCAGCTGGATCTGCTTGTAAAATGTCAGTGCCTCAAGATCTTTAATGGTCTTGGGAGTCTAACAATAGTACAGACAGTGCCTATTCAAAGACAAGGGCTCCAGGCACATGTAAGAAGGAAGCAAATACAGCATCCCCACGAATCAGACATATTAGACAAAAATTTTCTAAGTACAGAACACATGTGGCTGTGTATTTGTCAAGTACTTTATTCACTTGAACTACACACACAGCACCCGCAGGAAAGAATTTCCACTGTTAAGTATGAGTGGGCTCCTCCATTTTCCTTTTAGGACTCAATTTTGGACCTGGGAAAAAGTGTTCTCAGTCGAAAGGCCTCCAAGCAAGCCTGGGCTGGTCATAGCACAGCAACAGCTGCATGAGCTTAAATTCCTCTCCCCTCCCTGCTGCACAAGCCGTGCCCCTCGGTCCTGTGCCTGGAGGAGAGGAATGTCCAGCTTTCCTGCTTCCCTGCCAGCTCCACTGGCATTTCCTATTCCACAGCCAAGTGCACGTTAGGCGCCGACACCATGAAGTGCTTTTTCATGTGGGCAGTGGTGGTGGAACTAAGGATCCCTTTTGGTCAGAACCCCCTGCAGATGTTCGTGACACTTTTTTCACTCTTCTTTATGCAACACGTCAGGCGCTTGTGATAATTTACTACCACAGGAACCTCTTCCTGCATGCTGCTAACTGCGAGTCCTTCCGGACTGCTGGCAGGCACTGCCCAGGGAAGGGAGAGACAATGTGCAGCGGAAGGTGTCAGGAAGCAAAGAGAGCCCTGTCCTGCATCAGCAGCTCCCAGGAGAGAGACAGGCAAAAATGCAGCAATGGCTGTGTGGGTTTAGTGGAAACTAACTTCAGTTAGAAACTAGCAATGGCTGCCCTCTTGAAGGCTAAAACAACGAAAATATCTGGAAAAGGTATTTTAATTTAAAACTTACCTAAAAAAAGAAAGAAAGCAAGAAAGCTAAAGCAAGTTCAAAAATAACTCAGAAAGTAGACAAAGATAAGAACAGATGCTGCAGGAGTCAAGTCTGAACAAAAGGCATGGGCTATGAAAGAAAACCACAAATGGCAGGGGTTGAAATGTAAAACATACAGTTCACTGTGAAACATGAAGGATGCTGTTGTATTCCACACCTCCTCTTCCTGGGTGTAGCTGTCTCCACAAGGTGAAGGGCAGTAATGAATCAAGCTCCTTCCCTCTTCCTGTATTTTCTATTCAATTATTTGCAGGCTGTGCAAGTTCTGCTTTATTTCCCCTCTCCATATGCCACACTCTCCTTCTGTTTTTTTTTTGGTTTTTTTTTTTAATTCTGAACTGTGCCTTTGGCCTCTCTCCCATTCCTTTCTCCTCGGTGCGTGCCCCCCACTCTGCCAGGATCTGCTGTCTTTGTAACCTCTGCTGTGCACATATGCTGGCTCTACCCGCCCCTCCTGCCACCCCCTGCTCCGCCGAGTGTCCCTTCTCCTCGCTCCAGCCTTTCTGCCAGCGGCTCCATGAGCCAGCCAGGAACGGAGCGATTTTGCCATGGCCACTGCTCCCGTTTCCATGCTGCCGGCTCCTCTCCAGCGATCAAGGGGAAGCCGTGCTGCTCCCCTCGCACAGCACAGGCAGACACAGCCCTGCAGCTGCTTAGCAACTGCGAGCTGCTGTAGCGCAGGGAGCCACGGACGGCTCAGCCTCCACCGACCCGGCGCCTTCGGGCCCACGCGGCTGCAACCCAGGGCTCGGGGGACCAGCTGGGGCACTCCCCACCGTCCTGTCAAACAATAAATCAAGATGCAAATCCTTAACTGCACGATTGAGAGTAATGGTGGCAATGTCAAGGGCAAAACAAAGTCCTGGTCTCGTGTCGCATCGCACCAGTGGGAAGACACTGCTCTCATTTGTAAGCTGAACTCATTCCATTTGATCTTTGTCATCGGTTTCTGCCTGCAACGTTTTATACTCCATCACTTATAATCAGAATGTTCCTTGTATGCGCTGCATGTGTTAAAATGGCTTCCAGGTCCCCAGCTACCATCATATCAGACTGTTTAATGAAGTGTCCAGAGACACAGGTAATTTAATGCATAATATCCTTTTAGATTACTTATTTGTATTTTCATTTCCTTCTGATGAAAGCTTTGTAAGTGCCCAGCGTCTTTAAATGGTACATTCTTTTCATTCTTTCTCTTTTATTTTTGTGGAACTGTACTGTTCAGGGGCCATGAAGCACTGAACTGTTTTGTAATTCAATGGCTTTAGAATGCTGATTAGAACTGCCAGCCATCTTGATTTATTTCATGATTTTTATAAGCTTGAAAGCATTCTAAAAAATAACCAGCTCTACATCCTGATAGGATCACAGCATTTCAATGGCAGCAGCATTTCAATAGGCAAGAAGAAACACAAAACATTCTGCAAGTCAGGTGTTGAAACAGCTTCTTTATTCCTTTATAGCCCGAGAAAGATTAGATCTCTGAAAGCACTCACTCCCTACCTTACAGAGGTGGCTTTGTCATAATACTTGCAGAAATAATATGATCATATACAGTTTAAAAAGTAACACACCCCCCCTCCCCCTGCTATGGCAAATAGCCAACATATCCATCAAAATTTGTCTGGATTTCAAACACAGTAAGCGTTTGTTCCACTGTTGGGTGTCACCATGCATCTCTGCACCCCGGCAGCCAAACAACACAGCCTAGTGATTCCCTGTCATTGTTCAAGGCTCGCATCCCATGCATCCTCAGAGCATGCTGGGGCACAGGTGAAATCTGTCAGCAGGTTGCTTATTTTGGCTGACAATTCCCTAGACAGATCATCTGCTGTTCTTAGGAAGGAATGAATAATTTCATGGCAAGAAAATCTGAACAGGCAAATACCCTGTCCATATTCCTACTCAATATTCCTTTGATATTCTTAGCCTGGTTTCCTAAAAATAAAACTGTCTAATGCAACTGTGTTGCTCTATGTAATTTTCTCCCCTCCTTCCTTCAACTTCATATTTGGCAGGGGGGAAGAAGTCCCTAATGAATTTAGGTCTTGAATGAACTTCTGGATACAGAGTATGTAGTGAAGCATCACGTCTAAAAAAAACCATCTAACAGGAAGGTCTCAAAATGTACTTTGTAACCACCCTGCCCCTGACCTCTCATCTTTCTTTTATGGGTCCTGCAACCACCTGTTTTGCGCTCTGCATTATTTAATGGCTACATAATAGACACCAGGGCAGGCAAGTGTTGCAGTGTGCCTCTGGCTCCCTTCCAGCTCCTAAACTGGGCTTTCTTCCCATGCAACTGGGGTGTGGCAAAGGATGGTGTGGAACCAGACCTCCTCCTGACACAATATTGACACTGCTGAGGTGTGTGTACACACAGCAGGAACCAGGAAACACCCACAGTGCAGATAGGTTATCTGGAAGAAAACATAAAATCATAACCAACCAAGTTTGTAGGTGACACTAAGCAGTATCAGGAGGGAGTATCAAATAAAACCAATAATTTTAAAAGGCCATGGCAAGCAACAACACTAAGAGTTTTCAAGAGGACTAGAGCAAAGCCATACATGCAAAACAAAGAGCACAATCCTACAGTACAGGGTTGTCATCCTACGAAGGAGAAGACCCGAGAGTATTTTAGCAGCCCTGCTGGGAAACCAGCTGAACACAGGCTGGAGTAATCCCTGGATGCCTGACAGACACATCTGAGCCAGGAGGCTGTTGGCTCGGGCACGGTCACTGCCGATGGCTCTGTCCCCTTCTGCCCAGATCAAAATGGTGACAAACTGGAGCAGGAACAATTACAGGATTAGTAAAGATGGACCCGAGGGGGAGCTCTGCAGCCTGCAACGGAGTGTTTAAATGCTCAGCTTGCACACAGCTATGAGAGGATGGAAATCTGGTAATGGAGAATTCCTCTGCCAAGGAGACTGAGGGACAGACACATCCAGAAACTGAAAGCAGAAACTAGACAAGTTTAAAAAGGTACTTTGATTTCTAGTCTGTCAGGTAGATTTTTGATGGAAACAATTTACCCATATTTTACTCCCTTTCGCAGCCCATTTGAAAATGAAAATCTGATCTTTATCTAAGATACAGCTATGCTGCAGTTAAATTCTTTCAAATGAGAAAAAGCCAAAAATTCATAAAAATCAAGAGACCTGCATAATGCAGGAAGTTGAACCAGATGAACCTTGGTCTCTTTTGTCTTTTATAATCTATTAATCTAGTTTCCTTGCACAAGCAGTGGATTGTGACTTTAAAACCTTCAATATAAAGGATTCTGTGTACAAGGCAGTCTAAAACAAAATGTTGTAAACAGTTAGGATCATTGTTTGGCAGAACAGCTGCATATTTTTTATTTCACTTTGCCTCTCAATCTAATTTGCTCTTGTTGCAACACTTTGCCAAAGAAATTAAATCACTTCTTATTGATAACAGACAGTGATATAATTAGCATAAGAGTTTTCCACTCAACAATGCCAAGCAGGGACGCTGTGGGCAAGAACAAACTCCTTTGCTTCAAGAATGTGCACAGAGTCACCACAAGCTGTTCAGAGAAAAAAAATCTTTCCTCCCCCCCTTTCCCCTGAAAGATCTCTTTATCTAAAGAGTCTCACGCAGCAAACCAGGGTCAATCTAACTCAAGTATGAAAGTCTGGTTTGACCTTTCTGGGATTTAAACACGCTGTACCAGAACATTTTGCTTTTCAGATACGAGGTTCAGCCATGAAACCACCCACTCTGAGAGCACAACTGGTCTCAACTGCCTTGGCGACTTTTAAACTACACTGAACATTATAGTCATTTAGAAACTCTAAAAAACGGAAAGAAATTTTCGGCTCAGACTTACAAAAACAACTTCCAGCAGTGCTGAGGACTCACACAACTCACTGGGGCGGCACGGCAGGCTCGCTGTCCAGCGCCTGCTGCCCCAGCAGTTTCTGGCCCTGGTTTGCACGTACGCAGCGCCAGGCACACGCGTTAGGACCTCTCCCAGCTGGAGCACTTCATGGATTCTACCACCGGGAACAGCCGTCCTGGACAATGATTAATCGCAGACAAAGATCAGAGTCCTGGAAAAATATGCAGAGAGATGCAAGTACAGACAAAGCTGTCTAAGCTCCCACAGTATTATGGTCTGGCTGTGTCGCTTCAAAGCTGCGTTAGGCAGAACTGGTTTGCTTCAGGGTTGAACAGATCAACGTTATGGTTTAAATGCTGGTATTGCTAACAGCCAAGTATATTTACACGTAAATCTGAAATCCCAGGAAAGTTAATAGCCCGATGCTGTTTAAATATGCCTTTTTTTAGTCGCTTCACGTGCTGACTTAACTCATTACGATGCAAGCTGCAGAAACATTTTCACTACAGTTCAAAACCCCCTGCAAACAAGAGCCCAGCTCTGCGCCGCACTTTGATCTGCACGTCGCCTCTCTCGGCCATTTCCAGGAAGCTGAAATACTTTCCACCTCTATTGACAGATACCAGAGGAGCATTTTAATGGTGTTCAGTTAAGAACAACGTCACCGTTCCTTCTGATTTTGCCAGCAGACGGTCACTGGGAGCCGTCGTGACCCGGGCCGGGTGCTCAGCGCTGGCTCCAGCGCGGGCCCGGCGCTCCCGGCCGGGCAAGGACCGAGCGGCGGCCCGGGCGGCCCCGGCTCCGAGCGCCGCAGCCCCCGACAGGGCTCGCAGCGCTACAACGCCAGCCTGGCACTGCGGAAGAGCTTTGGTTTTGTTGTTGGTTTGTTTGGTTTTCTCCCCCTCCACGGGAACGTGTTCTGTTTTGTGCGGACGGTTTGTCGCTTGCTCTCGACATAGAGGCTGACCCGGTGAGGAGCGAGGGGGGGAGCGAGGAATGGAGCGATGAGCGCAGTTGTTGCGAAAGGCGCGGGCTGCGGTGCCTCCTTCGCGGCAGCACCCTGCTACCTTGCAGGGAAACAGCCCTGAGCCTCGGCACATACCACAGCACAGGTCGTACAAACCCACGGACCGGCTTGTGCTGAGCCGCAGGAGCTGCGGGCAGGGCGCACCCTGCCCGGCACATGCCGCTCCCGCAGACAGCCTCTGCCAAGCAGCCACTTACCTTCTCCCTCCCTCAGAGTCCGCAGGACGGTCCTGCTCTAGCCTTACCAGGGAGGCCACCTCTATACAGTGTTTGCTTTTCCTCCCTGTCCTGCCCTCTGAAGTGGTTGGTCAAGCCAGGCTTTCCTGGCTCACCTACTCTGGGTCTGAAGTGAGCACAAGCTGCAATTCCCCGCAGAGCACAGCGAGGCTTGTGAAATTCCGAAATAACCCTCAGCCTCCACTCAAAGCGAGCTGCAGCAGAATCTGCTCGGGGGAAAAAAAAATCCCACCAAAAAAACAAAGCAGACGGAGAAAAAAGAAAAAAAAAAAAAAAAAGAAGAAAAAAAAGACGCCACATGTAACACCTCATCGGGCCATGGCGGCTCCACTGCAGCGCGGCACCGGCTCCGCGCCAGCCCTGCCCGAGCGGGCCCGGGGAGCTCGGCGCTGCAGGCCGGAGGAGGCAGGGCAGCGCTGCCCCGGCTGGGTGATGGCGGAGGGGGGAACAGCCCAGGAGAGGCAGAGAAGGAAAACAACAAAGAGCCATGTGACGGGGAGCGGCGGCCGCGCTCCCCCCGGCGCACCCGCTCCGGGCGGGGAGGTGGCGGCGCCGCCCGGCCCCTCCCGCGGCCAGCGCTGCTGCTTCCCCCCGTCTTCCACACTGCCCGGGCTTTAATTTTTTTTGTGCATTTTATTTTTTTTCCCTTATATGTGTAGGGAAGGGGGGTGGTGTTGTTTGTTCCTCTTTTTCCCCCCTCTGCATTAGGCGACTTCCATGGCTTGCTGTTTTTATAAAGAGAGCGGGAGGCTGCGGCGGGGGAAGGGCGGTGTTATTTATAGCAGCCGGCATTATCCGAGCTGCCTTTGTCCTCCCGGCCGGCCGCCCCCCCGCCCGGCCCGGCTGGAGCGCCGCCAGCCCCGCTGCCGCAGGGCGCTCCCGCCATGTTGTGCGCGGGGAGAAAGAGCCGCTGCTCCCTGCCCAGCTTCGCCCTTCCACAGCCCCTCACAAAGCGCTGGGGGAAGGGAGGGGGAAAAGGGGAAAAAAAAAAACCAACCAAAAAACAACACCCCAAACCCATCATTTCCATGCAGCGCCCGGGACGCGGAGCGCCGGGAGGCAGCGGGGGGAGAGCCCGCCGCGCCACCGCCCAGCGCTGAGGAGAACGCGGCGCCGAAGGGAAGGAGAAGCCATGATGGCGGCTGCCCTCACACAACACGGAGCGCGACCGGGAGCGCCGTGCCCGCCGCCGGCCGCCCCTCCCGCCGCCCGGGACACGGTGCTGCCGCAGCCTTTCACATAATAAACCCACCAGAATTCGGCGGGGAGGCCATTTTCGTGGGCTGGGTGGCGGCACTAAAGCACAACTGCTGTGAATATCAACTGCGTCACGGCTCTCCATCTGTAACACTCAGGCTGCAAAGGGTCCCTCACTTGGAAGGAAACTCCCTCATTTTGGATATACTTCCAGACCTCCTTTTTCCCCCCTCTCTCCAAGTCACTGCCTCTCGGTATGAAGGATTTTACAGTGCTTTCTAGGGAGACATCCGCCATTAAGACTCACCGTCGTGAAAAACACCCCCCCATTTTGTTGCCTGTTTTTTGTCGAGCTTCTGTAATTAGACGGATAAAACATGTAAGGGATCCCTACCACCACCACCGCCTTCTCGCCTTTTTTAACATCAACCTCACTAACATCTTACTGTTCACAGGCAGATTTTTTTTTTTTTTTGTGCTTTCAATTTAACAGCCACGTAATGCCTGCCTGCAATGGATTCACAGCGTCTCTCCGCACCAAAAAAAACCAAACCCACCCAGGGCTGAGGACGACCAAGAGCTTTGTGCAGAAAGAGAAATCAAATCCCTCCCTGAAAACAGACGTTTCAGAGGTACTGTTAGATGTTTCTGAGGAGAAGGAGATCGCCACCGCTTTCAGACGACCATTGGGATCTTTCCACCCAGGACAATACCATTAGCTACAGGCCTGGGCTATTTGTTCCTCTGCAAGGGCAAAAGGGTTTACTTACCCGCACACCATAGTTGAATGCAGCTCTGAAGGTGAAGTTGTTACTCTTTTTTAAAATAATGGCTATAAGTATATATATGATCTGTATCACCACTTCTCTCGTAAGTTTGCGAGCCAAAGCGGATCTTGTTAAGATAAGTTATGGATCTTTGTATGACAGTGGTCTAGCATCAAAAAAAGAGGAAAAAAAGGGGGAAAAAAAGCTATAGAAAAAGTCCAGCTATGTTGACTGACCGTACACAGGCGAGGACTCCTGCTCGAGGCTTAAATCTACCTTCCTGTGGCAGATTTACTCTGTACATAAAAAGGACGTTCAGTGTTTTTCCACAGAGCACGCAGACACTAAAAATATTCTCCTCAATAGTTTTAGGCTGCACATGTCAGTGTGAAAACACCTAGTTAACATTTACTGGTGCTAAACAACTTTTAAGCATATCTTAGCCAGATAATTTGCTTTATAAGTAAAATATTTCAAAAAGCATAAATTGGTTTAAACAGACAAAAACATAAGACATGCAAATGAAGGCTTAGCAATAAGGACCACTTCGGTAACATTAACATGAAAACTACACTTAGCGAGGACAGAATGGATTGGGTACTTACAATGTAAGAGGAAAGAAAGAGAAAAAGCTTATCATAGTAAAATTGCCTTATTTTTTTTGCCAGAATTTACTATTCCTATACTTAAAACATTACCTTTTAAGCACCAAAGGAGTTAATAAAAATGGCCAGGAATCAAGTGTTTAATACAAGAGAGAAGTCTCTCAAATTTATTGTTCAGTCATCAGAGCTGCTTAAAGCTTAAAAACCCCCAAAACAATGAAAAAATATAAAAAGAATGTATTTACTCTTTTTTTGTTGGCATTCGAAATTGTTAACTGCTGACATAGGGTGTGCCATGACCTAGTTACACAAGACAAAGATGGATCCCGAATCATAAGGGTGAAAAAAAAAAAATCCGCATTACTTTTTTTTTTTTTTTTGTTAAGGGTTTGAGATATATATATCTATATATTTAAATCCTCCTTCTTCAGTGAGTCGTCTGGCACCGTGCTAGAGGCTCCCACCACCCCGCGTGGTGTGGATTCACATGGCGGATCCCCCTTTATGGAACAAAGGAAAAGCCCAGTTGGCCATTTCGCTCCACTGCAGAAAAATGGCTGCGGGTCCCGCGGCCTCTCCTTGGCTTCTGCCGCGCGGTGCTTTTACCCCGCCGCCTAATAACTCAAGCCCCATGGAAGCCGCGCTCCTATTGGCTGCGCCCACCGCGCTGCCGCCGCCCCAGCCAATGGCGCGGCCGCTCCCGGGGCCGCCGCGGCCCCGCGCCCCGGGACGGCCGCGCCATGCGCCCGCCGCGCTCCGCCCGGCCCCGCGCCCGCCGAGCGCCGGGGGCACCGCGCCGCCCGCCTCTAACACCGAAAACAAAATGGAACCTCCCCGCTGATTGGCTGACGAGGGCTCCGGACCTTTAATAAGCAAAGCTGCTCCCCCATCTTCCATCACCCCTTCCTCTGCGTGTGTTGCCACCCCCCCTCCTCCTTCCCCCCCCCCGCACTCTCCGCCGCAGCGGCGCGGCGGGTCCGCGCTCCACCCGCCCCCGCGGTCGCCCGGGCTCGCTGAAGTCTTTCTCAAAAAAAAAAAAAAGAGAAAAAAAACCGGAAAAAAAAAAACCCAACTTGTCCCACCTATAGGTCCATCTTGTTTAGAAACAGTTTGCTCTAAGGTAAATGCAGCGGGCAGATTCCACTCGCCCCCCCGCATGCCGTTAACCCCGCGGCGGGGAGGGAAAAAAAACCCGCGCGTCCCGGTGGCGGCCCATGCGGCGGCGCTCGGCGGCGGCGGGGCGGCGGCGGGCGGCCGCGGGCCGGGGGCTGCGCGGCGCGGCCGCCGTGAATGTGCAGGCGGCGGAGCGCGGTTAGGCGTTCGCGGCGCTCGCAGCGGTGTATTGTGGGATCCCGGCCGCCGCCAGCAGCGAGCACACACACAATATGTGGTGGCTCGCGAAAACGGGAGGCAGGAGCCTGGCGGGCAGCCCGCGCCGGTAACCGGCCCCATGTGAGACGGGAGCTCGCCTTTCGCCGCCCGGAGACGATCGGCCGCCCAGCGCGATGTCTTTCCGAGAGACCAAGGCGGGGGAAAAAGCCAAGCACCCTGAAGATCATGGCAAAAAGCAGAGTTCAAGTGAGATTGGGTCTTTTTTTTTCTTCGTCTTCTTTTTTTTTTTTTTTTTCCCTTTCCCTTCTCCTCTCCTCCTCCTCCCTCTCTGCCTCTTGTCTGCTTGGGGTGGAGGGGGGGACCCAGTTGGCAATTCCCCCATTTTGGGGCTCGTTTCGCGGTGGATTTCCTCCCTGCCTGGGTGTGTAGATCGGGCGGCTCGTTAAAAAAAAAAAAAAAAAAAAAAAAAACCCACACCGAAACGAAGATGTCTTTGTTGAATATTTTTTTTAACTTTATGGTTTTTAGTGTGCTTTTTCTTTCTTTTCCCCTTACCCCTTTCTCTCTTTCCCCCCCTCCCCCCCGCGTTCAGGTTGGATCAACGGAATGGAGAACAGCACGCAAGCCAGCACTTCTGTCGAGAAAAGAAATCACCATTGGAGAAGTTACAAGTTGATTATTGACCCGGCTCTGAAAAAAGGACAGCACAAACTCTACCGTTACGATGGGCAACATTTCAGCATGCCGGTGAGTGGGGGGCTCCCGGGTTTCCCCCATTGTGTCGTGCCTCCCCCCACCAGCCTCTGTCTTACCGGCGTGTTGGGGGCTGGGGGTCCCTCCGGGTCGTGGAAATCCTCGCCGTAGCGCATGTGTGTGGGAGGGGGGGTCTGGGGGGGGGACACGCACAGCCACCAAAGTTACAGCCACCTGACACTGTGTATTCAACTGTCAGGAGCACAAACCTGCGGCTTTTTTCTGTGTTTCCAATCTGTGTGCATTTCCCAGCAGTATTGCAATTTGACACGTGTGTGTGTGTGCGCTTTCCCCTTCCCTTGAGACAGCCCGTGCTTCCTCGGGATTTATTTTTTCTTTTATTTTTGTCTTAAATTTCAAGTCTTGTTATTGCTGTTTCTATGTTTTCTCCCCTCCTCTTCCTCCTCCTCCTTCTCCCAGAACTCGGGGATCGCTCCTGTGGATTGTGTCAGGGATCCCAGAATAGGGCGAATATGGACCAAAACTAAGGAGTTGGAGCTGTCTGTCCCCAAATTCAAGGTACTGCCCTGACTTTTGGCTTTAGCTCTGGAAACTTGTTTATCTGGGAGTGAAGCCTGAGTTCCAAATAGTTTAATGGACCGTTGAAGTGACAGTCATATTTATATTAACATTGTTATTTAGCAAACTGTTTAACAATAATCCTCTTCTATGAGGATAACAAGAAATCAATGTATCTGTCTAACGAGATCACTTGAAGGTTTTGGAGCTGGGGCTTCTGGGGCGGGGGGCAGTGTTGGGGGGAGCTCTCCGCTGACAGTACTGCTCAAAATGCATCTTTGTAGCCCAGAAAGGAGCCGGTTC